CTATGATAGATAGATTAACAAGGGAATATTATCCACTTACCTTGATACACAGACAATGTGAGACAACAGGGATGCTACATATGTGGATAGTCCTAAATCCCTCACAAGGGACTCTACAAAAGCTACACATGAAGTCGAAGTGTGGGAACAGAGAGATGAAGCATCACTGAGAGAGGTTGATGGAAGAGGGACTAGGAGAGATGTAGAGGTAATGGAGGTTGTTCCTGGTGAAGTGACGGAAACTACGGTTTAGCCAGCCAGAGAGGAGCCACAAGAAGGACCCAATGCAGAGTAGACTAGCTGATAGAAATTACTCATGCAAGGATGTGTATAAAGGAAAGGTCCTTCCAATCCTGGCTGAATGCATCCATGACCAAACCCAAAGGATGAAGAACTGGGGACCAAAATAGAGAAAGCTAGGCATTCAAAAGAGAGGCAAATGCACCTAGTTGGGGAGTATCCATCTGAGAACATAGCTATTGATAGAACCTTGTCTGGATGGAACAGACAACTAGCAACAAAATTGAGAGCACCAGTATGTGACAAGCCAGCAAACGAACTTGATGGCTTTCAGCCCAGAAGAGATCTAGAGTGCAGGATCATAAGGGCCGGGATTGAATACCCTCTTGACTGGTGATGTAAGAGATAACCATCGGGTTGACAGGATGAATCATAACTGTCTTGCCCCACAGAGATGACAAAAAATGAAATATTGCCTGATAAAGAACAAGGAGTACCAAAAGGTTGATGTGAAGACCTAACTCCTCCTGAGACCAATGGCCTGAGATCTCTTGTGTAATGCAATATGCATACCATCCTGACAAAGAGGCATCTGCAAAGATGTGGTCATCCAGACAGGTAGAAGGAATACTCCAACTGTTGTGTTGTCCCTGTCTAACCACAAGAGGGAGTCTGACTTAAGGTAATCAGAAAGGGATATCTGTAAATAAATGGGGTCCCTGATGAGATGCCAATGAATTTGTAGTACCATTTTCAAGGAATGCATGTGGGCATGGCCCAGAGAGATAAGTGTCTCGAGTGATGCCCAAGTCCCTAAAAGAGATGGCACTTCTCATATATAGAGAGAAAGTGCTGATAGTGTTCTCTGAAATAAAAACTCCATGGATCACAGACAAAGAGGAGAAGGCTGGGCTCAACTAAGATGTAAGTTGAAAACACCCCCAGATGAAGAAGATACTGAGTAGGGTGAATAACAGACTTCTCCACCTTGATACACCAACCCACCCAATCAGCTTTTCTGAGAAGTTGGGCATGTGAAGGAGACTGCAAAGGAAGGAGCCAGTCATCCATACAATGAGGGAATTGATTAATGTGATCCTCATAGATGAAACATATAAAATGGTGTAAAACCTGAGCAATAGGGATGTGAAGATAAGTCAGACATGTTGAAACTTATCATCCAAAGCCCTGGAAGAAAGGCCCATCTCAGAGGCAGTTAGGATTCCATGGTGAACTGACTCAGATGAGAGATATCAACCCTAGGACACCAATCTCTGGTCTTCCTGGGGATGACAAAAAGTTGGGAAAATAACCCTGGGAGCACAGGAGAAACCTGTCCGATGGCACCCTTGATGACAACGACTTGAGCTTCTTCTGTGAGATGCTGGCTAGAAATGGGACCTTAAGGAGGGGAGGAACTGAGACAGGGGAAAAGGTAGGAGGTGTGAGGGAAAAGACGGACAGCACCTCTGACAAAACTCAAGACTTTTGCCACGACCCTTCTGTAAAACAAGCAAGCCTGGCTCCACAGGGTAGCCACTGGTAATGCTGATGTCATACGGTGCATAGGTGAACAATGGTATGATGTGTGGACATGGTCCAAGAAGGAGGAGGATGGGAAACAGGAAGTGTGCAATCTAGTGGATTCAACACGAGATTCCAAGGTGTCAAGAAGCCCATCAAGATTGTGGATCTCAGAAAAGGGGCTGATTGAAGATCTCATGAGGAAGTCGGTGTGGAGCCGCACATGTGTAAACAAAGCATCCCAACCCAAGAGATACCAGCAACACAGGAGCCAAGTGTGGAAGGAATAGGCAGACGAAAACAATCTGGGCAATTTGGTGAGTAGGAGGAGGAGGGCACAGATTACCACTGAAAAGCCCTTCGGAGAATGACGGAAAGCCTCAGACAATAGGTGAGTGGATGACAAATAAGGAAGGAGAGTGTAAGGGAGAAATGGAGGCGAGCATATTAAGTTTGAGAAAAATGTCATGAAGTATCAGATGTGAAAGGATGTGCTGAATGATATGTAAATGCATGAGCCACTGCAGTACACACACGTAATTGTTCTGCAAAATGTTTGGTATGGACCTCAGGGGAAAATCAATATTAGGTGCTGCAGTTAATAAGACAGGAGAGGGATCAGTTGGCACAGATGACAAGGACAAAACATAACATACCTGTGTTATCAAGTCCAAAAATGGTGACTGAGGTTTAGGTGCTTCAACAGGCTGAGAACGTGCCTCCACAGCAAAGGAATGGGGGAAGGGGGAGGAAACGTCCAAGTCTGCATCATCCTGATCGAAGTCTACAGGCACTGGCAGAATTGCTTGTAGATCAGGAGATCCCTTGTCCCGAATGAAAGACACAATCTCCTGATGAACTACAGCCAACACTTCCTCCACCGATAATGCCGCAACTGTAGCCATTGTTGAATGCTGGTACTATTAGTTGCCATTGTAATCATAATAGTAAATTTTGAATTTAAACATATTGACTGACAGTCGGCAATTGAGTGAGGAATATAATTCACAATCAAATAAAGAAATCCAACTAAACAAAGGATTATAAACAATACTTTGAAATGCAAAAATCATTAACTGAAAATTTTAAAAATGCACTAAAGAAGAAAAATGTTTGAAATTAAGCATTAGGTATTAACAATGTTGTGCCAAATCAAGAAGTGACGATTGGGTTCAACTGCATAGAGAGAGTCAGCCACAATAGGAAGGTGTGTCGCACTCCTCGTGGTGGAGGGTTTTTGCATGCTTAAATGCAGCTGAACCATGTGGGCAGTCAAATCGAAAATAGCTGTAATTGTAATTGTGAGAGGAGGTAAGCAATCGTATCAGAATCAGCTCTTGCTGGTATGCTTCTTTTGAATGGATGACAAGTGACGAGCACCTTGTAAATACAGCACTGAAGACTAAGATAACAAGGGTAAATAAAAGCCATGCAGTAACAAATACAACTAAGAAAGACTGCAAGGTAACAATGTAAACCTAATAAAGTAAATAACAATGAGAACTGCTGATAGATAATAATTACTTTGAAGAAGAAAATCTCAAAATGAGACAAAACTGACAATGGGTAGAAATAGAAGATTGTATGGAAAACCCCTGAAAAATAAAGAAAATAAAATCAAGGGTCAAACATTACACAAGTAATACTAAATGCTATTAATAAGTATCTTATTTCTAAATGCACCATCAATAACCCAAAAATCAGAAGAAGGTGGAAATTTTAAGGATTCCAAAATTGAATCATTCAACATGACATTTGTATCCTCAGGCCCAAGATTAATTAGTTCAAGATTTAAAACAGAATATACCTGAGAAATAAAGAGAAACTGAACCAGCAGAAACTTAAATAATCTAAAGCAAACACTAAGTCGAAACTTGAAGGTTGAAACTGAGAAAGACTGATAAGAAATCGCAAACTAAATTGCAGTAGTCTTATGTAGAGTGAATTAAACACGCATCAAGACACTTTAATACCAATCGAGAAAGTGAAATTTTTCTAGAATAGTAGGGGAAGATAGCTGTGCTAGCATAGATGGTGCAGTATGATTGGTGGAGGATAGTCACATGATCAGCACATATTCTGAAATGGCATGAAACTGATGGGATATAAAAGACTGGTGAGCGAAAATTTTTTAGCAATGCTCAGAGGGCAGACCAGGATTGAGAAGGTCAGACCATTTCAGAAATAGATTCATTTAATGGTTCTATTATAAGTAAGATGCTAATTCATAAGATAAAATAAAAATAACAAGATATCTAATTACTAATTTTTCTAATTATCAAAACTGCTTATCTTGTCTAAACTTATTACTGGTTTTTGACACTTCTCAGTTTCTACCTTATAATTTAGAGAACTTGTTGGCAATGTATTTGAATGCTTCATGGTTTGATTTTTCTTCAAGGCATATGTAACATGTAATAATCTATATACATATACATAAGATATAATTTGGAATTTTCCTATTTTATTAAAGTTTTGAAATTAAAAAATGGATAGTACCCTTGCAATGTCAATCGATTGCTCCTCAATTTCTTAAAATTGAATACTTCCTTTAATTTGCCAATACGACTGTTTACATCATTTCTAATTCTGGATACACCAATGAGTGAATTAGAGTAAGTGTAATTGAACTAGCTAATTATATTTAAAACATGGTTTTATTTTTTTAGAAAAATGTTTCAAAGTATCAGAATTACTACTATTGAGTGTTTATATGGATGTAACATAGATCTGTATGTCAACTTACTTCATGAAACTGATATGGTAATTCTTGGTGATAAGTGAGTTTGTTTACAATGTATTGACCTTTTTCAACTTTAAAACATACATATATGAGCAGCTGAACAAAAACTATCTTCTTTTGTCATTACATTTGCAAAAGTAACAAATTAAGCAAAGTAAGACTTTATCTATTAACAAACATCTTGACATAGCAAGAAGCTGCACAATAATCAGTTTACATACTAAAACCTGTGAAGAATTTATTATATGAAATTGCAATGCAATCAATAAAAATATTTAAGTTTAAGGCACAACTTAGTTAATTCATTTGCAAAAGTGACCAACTATCACTGCATACTTGTCCTAACCATAGATAAACATATTGGTGGCCCACATTTTCTGTTTCACATCCAATATGACAGTGATTTTTTTAAGTGCATGTACTACACAACATCAACATTCTCTTCACAGCAGTTATATTTTAATGTCATTGAAATTCATCTAAAATAGCTTACCTTACGTATTGTGTCAGTTGCACTGATAAATTTATTGTAATTTTCATACACTAGGGTCTGCATTTCACTGTCTAATGACTGAATCTGCCTGTAGACAACCTGTTCATGGTCTATCAGTTCTGTGAGACTGCATTCTTTTAAAAGCTATCAAGTAAAGAAAGTTGTACAGTTTTATAACAAATAATCAACATTTGGCAAGTATATTTAAGAAAGTATAAAAATACTTGAATGAATAAAGACAGTTTATATTCTGATGAATCAAAGTTCTTCATGTTGTAACTATCTGTAAATCAAATAGCACATTAAAAAAAACAAGTTATAACCTCACACATACTTTAGTTGCTAAAACTTCATTTGCCACGAAATAAACTAACAAGCAACTTATGCAATCTCATTACCAACTTTTATACAGAAATTAAATATGTGGTCAAATATAAACCAAGTTTTACAAAAACCATTGCATGCAGTCTTGGTTCTTTATTACTGAACATTCTGTTATCAAGTAGAATAAAATGTAATAATACTACTTCTTTCATTAAGCAGAGAAAAGTATTCTAGTTCAAAGAAATAACTGGTGTAATCCTTTTTTTTTCAAATTCAGTTAGATTAATACTTTTCTATTCTTGAGCTACTATGTGATCAAGTATGAAACAGATCTGCAAACATTACTTCTTTGAACTAGGTTTCAAACACTATGAGTGATAAATGTTAAAACAAATAAATATATATTTATAAGTCGCAGAAAAATCGTTTGACAAGAAGGGAAAAGGACCTGGAAATGAAAATCAATACTTATCAAAATTCAATTTTAATATACTCTTTATGTTTATATGTGTTCTCTAATCCATTTATTTACAAATAATATAATTGTTATTACTTTGTTAATATACATTTCTGGATTAAAGTGCGAAGCATTGATATTGTAACTTTCAACTTCCCTAACTTCATTACTATCCTTTTCTAAAGATAAGCTGTAGTACTGCTTTAGGAGTCCTCTTCTGTGTTTTCTCTGTCCAGGATCACCTGAAATGGGGGAAAAAAGTTTTTATTTAAAACCACCAAGAAAACTGAACTCTGAAACAAATAATTTTGTATCTAAAAACATTTAACAAAAAAAAAAAGAGAGTAATATATAATACAAACAGAATTAAAACTAAGGAGGTGAATATTGGATAGTTTGAACATTTATTTATTTTTCTCTTGACAGATTATAAGTCAAAAGTTGAACTACGTTGCCAAAATATTTTGTAATAAGAAATTTGTGTATTATAAAAATGTGCAAGAAATAAAGATTGTTCTTTTAAACAGTATGCACTTAATTTTCAGGAACTTTAACAAGTAACTTGTATGGTTAATCATAACTTTTCATCTATCAGATCCCAAAGTTCACATATTAAGAGGTTTAATAGATTATATATAATTCTTGATAAACAGTGAGGTCAATCAACCAAATGTCTTTCTGTCACCTTGCACTTTCTTGTGTGAACTATTCTAGTTGAAGTGGAATAGATTGAGCTACCGTTTATAGCACTTCAATGAATTAATTTTTTTAAGACACAACATATGCTTCCTGTTGTAATTTACAGTTATTAAATTATCAGTTATATTACTGATAACATTCACACAAGGATGAAGTCCTAAAAGTAAATCTTTTGAGACAAAACTCTTAAATTGTCAACTGCCATCATAATTTTTGCACTTGCTTAACCCTGAATATAAATCATGTGATGCTACTTTCTAACATGACATCCCAATATCAGTGAAAGTATGAGGAATGGTGTCATATCATAAGATCATCAGGATCAAATCCCAAAAATAATATCAGTCAGGTTAAAAGAAACAGATGTTTCTTTGGCTAATTAACAGTTTTCCCTAATTAACATCCCATACAATTTTTATTACAATTTACACAATTTGACATTGTCACCAATGAAAATTATGAGAGGTCATTTAAAAGCAGAATAACTGCATTACATAAGTGGATTACTTTCAGTACTTTCCAAGATATCTGTTAGAATAAGCAGTGTAATGTACACTGAAATCAGCTGGGTTACAACTTTTAAACTTGAAGTTAAAAAACAACTGCTAACAGTAATCACACTAGCCTTTAAAAATGTGTTTTCAACCATATCACCTTTTTTTTATACACATTGTATCAATATAGTTATTTTCTGGTATAAAATCACTTCAGATTAACTAAGATAACACTTAAATAGTAACATGCTACATACAGTGCCTAGTACCTGACACCCAAAAACAAAGAACATGAGTTGTTATATGGGATACTAGAGCTGGGCAGTTAATTTAGTCAATGTAATCATTTACCTATGAGCACTGATTACATCAAAATTATGAATATATTGATTAATGTCATGGAAATAATAAACAAATCAAAATTAGTTTTCCCAATTATTACTGTTTTGGATTATTCAAACTATCCAAATAATCAAAATATCGCATTATGATTTCTCATTAATACTTTCAATTAATTTAAGGTTGTTCAGCTAAATCAATTAGTGTTACAGCTTATGAATATAATAGAGTAATCAAAATTAATGTTTCCAATTATTACTATTTTCAATTATCCCATCTATCCAAGTGCCATATAAGAATAATCAATTATTTTAATGTAACTGACTGAGCCCAATGAATAATCAGTTATGAAATTCCACTAACCATCCAGTTCTAAGTCGTTTCATTTGCTTTTACTTTGTTGCCTAGTGATGTAATATCATTTTTGATACTGCAACAAGCAATGGTTTTGTTATATCATTCAATTGTATCCACCTGAAGATGCTTTTGTAAACCTAGCAAAATGAGATTTTTTTTAAACTAAAATAAGTTTTTAGAAATATATTACTTATTTTATCCATAAACAAACTTAATATTCTAGTCACCCTTCCAATAATCTGACTCTTGCATTGTCACCAACATGCTGATATCCTTTCTGTAGCAAAGATACCAAATCATACACAGTTCTCCAGATGACATCTCACCGGCTTTGTAGAATGTTACAAAAACCTCTCTCTTAACCCATTCACTGCAGCTGGGACATATATTTCCAAGTGCACTGGGAAACATACATCCCAGCCACAGTGAAAATTCCTATAAATAAAACCGAGTCTTCTTTTGCTCCTTTCACCATATTCAAACACTAAAAGAAGAGAAGATTTTACCAACAACTATTTATTTTCATTTCCAAGTAATAATGAAAAACCATTTGGTCCATATACACCATATTACCACATACTACATATGGAAACTCCTTTTCTCATATCTAACCCTGATATCTAAAATACTCACCCATTCTCCTCTTAAACTCATCATCATGATTAGTAGCCTACACAACCATCCAAGTCTAATTATTAATGAGTAACATGTTTACATATTCTTAAAAATGGTAGCTAGGTTTTGCTGATTTCTATACTAGGTTGATTGTATTATCAGTTAGATGGATGTCAATGGCTTCTTTTATCCTTTTTTTTCTCTTGTGTGTCTCATATTCCATTATTCTAGCATTATTACAATTTATTGTATGGTCTTTGGCATGATAGCATAGGTGGGATTACAGGGTGGGGAAAGGAGGTAGCACTTGCCCCTACCTTTTTTCTGTGGGATTTGGCATACACACAACATCCACAATAATTAAGTTACTAAATTGGTAAAACAAAAAAAAACAAAGTTAAAGTTGAGAAGCATCATAGACATATAAGACTTGGCAATACTTACCTACCTGCAATAACCCATCATGCCAGAAAAGAACAAACAATAAAATCAAGAATAATGCTAAGTATAACAGAATATCAACCACAACAAGAAAAAAACAAAGATAAAAAGGAGAATTCAACATGCTCA